CGGTCCGCGCGAACTGTAGCGTATACGTAATATAAATAGGCGGCGTAGCCTAGATATATTAAGAGTTACGTAAGCCCGTACGTCGTAAACGGGGCGCTAGCTCTAAAAAAGGAGTAGGAGGTTCGATATCGCCTTTAGATACGATAGCGGCCTTAGGTAGCGGCACGGTCTACGGCAGTTATAGCGGCGCCTCTATAGCGGGCTAGTCTATATAAAGCGGTTATAGAGCGTCTAGGTAACTCTTCTCGTACTAACGAAGGAGTACTAGAGCATTAAGTAAGTCGGCCTTATCTATCTACTCGTCGTATACTAGGCTCTAGCCGAGCTAATAGACCTTGTATTATACGACCTCGGTACGATTTCGACCTCTACGGACAACCCGCTTAGAGAGTAATCTCTCGATCTTGTATAGGTAGTCCGGGTTATTAGGTTCGGAGTCGTTCTCTATTATAGGGCCTAGCTTAGGAGACTCTCTACTATACGGATTAGGGCCGTTAGGGTAAGGTATTAAGTACGCGATTAAAATAACCGGGTATATTCTTATAGTCGGCGGAAGCTCTAACTTATACGCTAGTCGGCCTATAGTATAGAGTACCTTAAACGATTCTCGCCTCTAATCGGTAAGCTTACAGTTCGGTTTACTAGGGATCTTATAGCCGGTATAGAGTTTAAGTATTACTCGCTACCCTAGGCGGAAGCGTAGTAGCTTATATACCTAGTCGTATCTATCCTTTATACTCGCTACGGCCTAGGCGAGGGAGTCGGCTACTTACTCGCGGAACTCCTAGCGTAGTACTACGTACGCCGTAGAAGGTAGGTTAACTAATAGGTCTAGAGCGTCTAGGTTGTTTCGAAAACCCTAGACTAGAACGTTAGGTTCGACTCCGGTCGACGCGTTCTTAGAGTTGTTTAGTATAGCTTAAATATAAGGTAACGCCTCTACCTAGTCTATATTCGGGTCGGTAGTAAGAAGGAAACGAAGGGCAATCTTAACGGTCTAGTTAGTTCGCTTAGATTAACCGTCGGTCTGTAGGTAATACGCCGTCGAGGTAAGTAACCTAGTATTAAGCTTAGTAAAGACGGCCCTAAAAAACGAGGATAGCTAAAGCGGATCTCGGTCGGTAATTATTTAAGAGAGGAGGTTCCGCTCGGCGACTATATAAGTACGTAGCTACGCTACCGCCTACTGTTCGGCGGTCTACGTACTCGTCCCTAGAATAAGGAGTATCTTCTTAGTAAACTTATATGTCTCGGTTAGGAGAGCGTCTATTCCCTATACCGCCGGTAGGGTATGAACCTAATCCGCCGTTACGGTATAGTAAGGAATAGGCGGAGCGTAGATCGGGGCGAGTTTACCTAGCGGTTTGTTACGTAGGGTCTAGTTTCCTAGGCACCTAAGGTAGCGGCGAATGTACTCTCGGAGCTCCTTAGCTAAGTAGCGGATATAGAGGCTAGCCTATATTCGGGCGTAGGCGCGATAAAAGCCGGCGTAGTAATAGTCGTTATATACTATACGGAAAATCTCTCCGTACAAAGGCCGGGGTATATAGAGACGCTCCCTACTATCTACTTTATTACGGAAGTAGACTAGCTCGTCGCGGAGGAAAAAGCGCAAACCTATCGGGGCGGCTTCCATTTCCCCTAGGTCCTAGTCTAGGTTATTACGTTAACCGTTAGCTAGAGGCGGTTCACTAAGGTCCGGCGGCGCCTCTACCTGTTCCGCCGTAAGTTCTCGTAGGCGTCGACGTTCCGTACGCTCTAGCTAGCTAAGGCGCTTCGCCTACTACTCGTCCTTACGATAAGTAGCCTTTAGGCGAGCCTTAAATTTATCTGCTAACTCTACTAGGACGGTATAGAAGACTAACGGCTCGGGTAAGGCCTAATACTATGCCGGTTCGGTTGCGAGTAGTAGGCCTAAGGGCTCCGGGTCGGTTACCTCTTCGTAGGACATAGGATCGAGGACTTCCGCCTACTAGTCTACGTTAACCTCGAGCTAATCCAAATCGTCGAGTAGCTAGCTTAAGGCGTCGGGAACGGTATATAGGCGGCCTAGCCTATAGAGAATATTAAACTTATACTAGAAGAGGTATTATAAGGCTCGTACTAGACGGAGGTTAAGCTTGTCGGTAGAAGTACTAGTAGTTAGTATATACTAGTACGAGATAGTTAGTACCGCTATATAGTCGGTAAAGACGTAAATCTCCTTCTAGTACGCCTAGAGTATATATTATAACTTTCGAAACGTCTATACTAAGTAGGCTACCTCTAGCTCGGTTAGCTAATACCTCTTCTCTACGTTAGTAAGAGCTTTACTAAGATAAGTAATTACCTAGATATTAGTATTAGGGAAACGGATCGGTTTGCCTACCGAATCCGTAGGGTTTAGGTTACCGGCTACTATATATACTACTATAGCGTAGCCGCGTCGAGATACGTTAATATCGGCGTAGATATTCCTATCGGGCTAGTAATAGTATACTATATTAGTAGTACGGTATATATCCTTTATTAGGGCGAATATCCGACGCTCTATTATTAAATCTTCGTTCTCGGTATCGAAGGCGACCGCCCTCTTTATATATCTCTTACGAGCCGCCCCCTTAGACGTAGGCGACATTATAAGGAGCTTAGTCTTACGCTTCTTAAACGGCTCGGTTAGGTAGTTATAGTATAGGACGATATAGCGCTACTAGCTAGTTAAACCGAGGTAAAACTCGATCTTCTTAACTATAGTAGGGAATTTAAGGTCGAGAACAGCCTAAACCTTCTCTTCTAAGGTTATTAGGCCTAGACTACTTACTTTCTACCTAAGTAAAGTAGCTATAGGATAACTAAGGAAGGACTTCTATAGGCTAATACTAACGTCTAAGGAGTCGAGTAGTCCGAATATACTATCGAGGTAGTTTAGGTACTCGTCTAAGGTTCGGGAGTAGATAATAATATCGTTAATATAGGCCTTAGCGAAGTCTCGTACGCTACGAAGAATACTATCTAAGCGTCGCTAGACGAACTAAACCGAGTTAGTATAACCTATCGTAGCTATATTAAGGACTTCCTATCTACGGTAAGAGTTAATAGTAAACTTATACTAATCTTCCTTACGAACTAACTACTAGTAGAAGAATACTACCGCGTTAATAGTAGTAATATACCGGTATCCTCGTAAGGCGGCGATAAGGTCGGCTTATAGTAGTAATAGATAGGAGTCCTTAAGCGATATCTTATTAAGGCCTCGGATATTAACTACTACTCTACCCTTCCGGGCCGGACAGCTATCTACTATTATCGTCTTCTATACTACGAAGACGGGAAATCCGTATAGTATAGGGGACTTCGACTACTCTATCTTACCCTAGTCGTATAACCTATTAAAGGTCTTGTCGACTACCTTTCGGTCTTCTATACTTAGTAGGTAGAGCTTAGTAGAGAGCGGAATCGCCTTAGACTAGTTATCTATTACGGGGACTATTTAACTAAGTCCCTAAAAGGGTGTCCTAACAATAGTTTTATATAGGTATAGCTGTAGCGGAAGGTGTCTATAAGGTAGGTAGGTAGTAGGAACTAATATGTTAATTAAGTTAATTATCTAGAGCGATATATAATCCTCCTAAACTTAGAGTTCCTAGCTGTAGGTTACATAACTAAATCATGTAACTAGCCCTATCTAGTACAGCCGCTAAGGACTGTACTTTCTAACATAATACGATTATTAAAAACGCGACACCTATAAGTATATAGAATAAAAATTCCGGATACTTTAACTTCTTAGACTTTACTAAAGGCGCTTCCTAAGTAGGCTTAGATATATACGACGAGGAAGGCTAATTTATTATATAAGTTACAATCTACGCTACTAACTTATAAGACTTTCTATACTACTAGGCTTATTTAGACTTACGGAAGCCGCTATTCCTATAGTAGTATATTTATAGCTTAACGATTAAGCGATATAAGAATTATTTCTTAATAATCTAAATTATACCCTTCTCTATACTCTATAGCTATATCGCTGTCCTTAAAGTCGGTTTACGAACTTACTCGTAAGTCTTTTATATTATAATTACTAGACTTTTCTACCTACTACTTAGACTTTCATTCTACGCCTACTATTTTGTAATAATGCCGTAGGTGTGTCTCGTGACTCTCGTCCCTACTATAGTACTTAGCGTGTTCTATTAGACAATTGTGTATTTTTGGTAGCTCCCGCCTATAGTATTATTTATATGCATTTTGTTATTTAGCGAGACTTATAGTACCCGGCAAGGGTTAGAAGCATAGATATACAGACTACTAAGCCTTTATATCCCACGATCTGGTCCCCTACGGAGCATAGATAAAGGACCGGAAGAAAACTTAACGCCGATTATGCCCTTAAAGCGGTACTAGAGATGGATTCGTCGCTTTTACTTCGGGTTAAGTGACGAGGAAAGACGCAGGATGCACTTCGCAAGGAAACAGCGGACTAGAGATTATGTAGAATAGCCGATCCAAGATGCAATGCTAGAGGCGAGATCGCCCAAGAAATCTTCCTGCTGCGACTAATCACAAAATCTAGCGAGGATTACCGCGAGGAAGGGCAGAAGCCTCCTCGACGAGTACCCGCCAGCGCAAAGATGTTCCTGTAGCAAATTACTTAGCTTGCGAAACTACTGCCTGTACCTGCGGATCACACAAAAGCTTGGCGACAACGGTCACCAATACGATGCCCTATCACAACACTGAATTCAGGTACAGCTTGCACTACCAAGGAACAAAGAAGTTGTCACGAGCCGAAATGCCGAGCCAGATATGAAACGAGGTCGTGAAGCTGGATCACAATACCTACCTCAAACCTGACCGACTGTTGCTTCGACCCGCTTTGAGCAGGGAAAGCCAGAAGTGCAAAAAGATCGAAGGAATGGTATAAAGATGGCGAGCTTTTATCAACTCGGCCCCGAACTCTCCATACAGCAAAGAGAATATCAACACCAAAACCTTTCCAAACACAATCGCAAACGATCATGCTGCTCCTCGCCCTCCTCCCCGTGCTCGCATCCGCCCTCCCAGCTACCTACTTCAACATCTTCGGCCTCAACGCCTGCGACGAACACATCCCGGAGACGCAACACTTCATCTCCTTTCAAGTCTCAAACCCAAATGCTGTTTACGAGCAAGGTGGTAATGAGGTAGCTAATTGCTCGATTAAATGGTACGTACCTTCCTCCTACCCTCCCCACTCTCCCACTCTCACTTCGCTCACTTCGCTCAGGAACACCTCCGCCCCCCTCTGCTGGACCTCCTGCTCCACTAACGGCTACCCAGTCTGGTACACCCACCTGACTCCCAACTACAACCCCTCTAACGGCTACTACTACGGCAACTTCTCCCTCGACATCGCCGAGTATTACGTCTATTCCGCCCCAGTCCTTAACAACGTTTCTGTGATCGCGGAGGTGGGGTTGGAGGGGCATACGTGTTCCAACGGAGCGCAGAGTTCGGAGTGTGGGATTTGGAGTGGCTATCTACCATAGATGCCCTCTTCTAACCTTCAGACTCTGCAGACACTACCTCGACTTCTCGTCATCGATCCGAATGAACTAAAGTCGGCCTCGTTCCATCTCAGCCACGGAGGCAACATTCTTAACTAGCACAATCTCGCCAAGCTCCCTACCCCTACTATTGGATCTATGATCAGTCTCGTGATCGCCGCTCGTCCTTATTCACAGAAGGCGTTGTTGAGCTCTTCTCGGCCCATGCCTATACACAGTCTCCTGCGTTACTCGAAAGCTATTGCCCTGGAGTTCAAAGATCTCACGGAGGAGCTCTCGGATGAGAAGGAGGAGGACATCTCATACGATTCGGATTTACGATCCGGAGGCAGACGGTCTTCACCACTCTCGTGAAGACGTCGACGACTTCCCCGTGGAGCGTCAGGTCGCTCCTCGCCATCCACTCGGTCGCCAGGATCCTGCGTGCTGTTAACTCTCCACCACCACGGCTTCGCCAGCGATGCCGTCTATATCTCCCCGCATCTCTGCACCACGGTCTTCGCAGAAGCGCTAGCACGCTCGCTTAAGGTAATATGAATTTTTGGTGGCGGCGAAAACACAACAACTCAACTCTGCTCATCACATCGTCGCTCGCGCCGCGCCGCACCTCACCTCACCTCACACCTCGCACCACATCACCCTATCGCTCACCATGTCCGGCCGCAATCACGGAAAGCGGGCATATGTTGAGGGAGGAGAGATGACCTTGGAGTTCAAAAGCAAGCGGTCGAAAACAGCACGTGATGAGCCGAGCGAGGACGTGGAAGTGCCCTCGTTCGAAGACTCGCCCAGCACGACATACGGCACCTAGCAGCACCGAGAATCCTCGCCGCGTGGGCCCGCCCAGCTTCCAGCCGCTCCTAGAGCTTCCTCAAGCAGGAGGAGATTGTCCGTGGAGCTGACGGTGATAATGAATTTATCATCTTCTCGATGTGGTCCTTTGTCGTTGTTTTGACTTTGTTACTTTGGGCTTCCGGCCTCCGCTGCTGCTGCAAGACGCGTCGGAGAAACGCACCCGAGGAGACGGTTGACAACGAGCAGCAGCGGGACCTCCTCGTGTCTAGCTGGCTGAGGTACTGCACCGCTGGCGATGGTTCTCCGCGTGCTGGGGTCACTCTGGTGCCCACCGAGCATATGAGCGTGGAGGAGCTGCGGACGGAGGTGAACCGCCTGCGCACCGGCAGTGTCGGTTCCTCAACCCCCCCTCCCCCCCTCTCACAGCCTCCATCAGCAGGATCTGCCGTGGACCGGCACTCATTTCATCAGGCAAACCGCAACTGGTTGCAAATCTCGATTCCAGGACCTCCTTTCACGAATATCGGACACTCATGGGCTTAGCTTTCATGGGTTACATTTCCACGGGCTGCACTTATCAAGATTGTACTTTCATAGGCTACTGCTCACGAGTTGACCCTCAGCAGCCTATACTTTTGCGGGTTGAACTTCTACGGACTGGACCTTAATAGGCTGGAGATTTCTCTATAGACTGGTAATGCACTCGCTGTTATTTACGGGCTGCTATTCACGGGCTAGTCGTCCACGGACCAGTCTTTCACAGGCTTAACTTTTACGGATTGGCTATTCAAAGGCAGGATATTCACGGCCAGGCATTTCACTGCCGAGATCTCGTAGACTTAACTAGGACAACCCGAAACAGATACTGCTAACGAGCTCGCTAAGGCTGAAAGGCAGTATATCTCCAGCGTCTCGCTTTACTGCCGTAGCCCCTATTACTATCCACGACAAACTTACAACACTGGAGCTATACTCTGCCACGATAAAGATTCACTTTTTAGCGGCTGAATTGCTATGGGTCGAGCTTTCACTTGCATGAGCAGCTACAATATTCACGTGCTAGGCAGTATAGTAGTCCTAGGTGAATGGGTGAATGAGTGACGGAAGAAGCCGGCACATCGATTGTCGGACTCCTTTATTAACTTCTCTCCTTGACTATATATCCAAGAACTTCTGTTTGTGAACAACAACAACAGCGCGGCCGCACCTTAGTCACCCATCAACAACACTGCTGAAGAACTTTCTTCGCTTCTCAATCGAAGCCCCCGGAACCTCCTCGACAAGACAACCATTCTTCGACAACAATAAGAACAAAGCCTGAAGCGTTCAAGACACTGCGCAGAGGAGCAAACCAAGCTCACGGAAGCTGAAGATTATAAACACACCCGCCAGCAAGTCTCCTCCCCTTCCGCTACTCAAGATCCGGTCAGCATCAGTGGGTGGACTCCACTCAACGGCCATACCTATAACAATCAAGAGGAAGACTATAAACACGAGAGCGAAGATAACGCCGCAGCCTCAGACACCGAAGTGGCGGATCCCAAACAGCGAAACATCCCGAAGCGGAAGATAACCACCAGGGCATCAGCGAGCACGATGGCCTCGAGTTCCCGGCAAGTCCAGCAGGGACCGGCGGGCGGGAGTGGAAACTCCTTCCCTACCGACAACGAGCTCTTCGACGCCGACCCCGAGCAGATGACGGGCGACATCCTAGTCCACCTGGCTAGGCGCTACGGGGTCGGCGAGATTGCCAAGCAGGTATGTAATGTGGCAGTGTCCTCCCTCCTACACTACCTAGCAGGTACTGAACTTTCATAGGTCAACGCACGCCACCCGAGCAACGAGGTGAGCGCGCCCCTGCTATCCAACCGCCTGCAGCGCGCGGTGGAGAAGATCGCCGCGGCGAGAGGCACGACCAAAGACGTCGTGAGGAAAGAGATCCAGGACGACGCCAAGCGCAATGGCGTGCAGGTCAATGGAAAGCGCACCGCACCTCTCGCCGTGGCGATGAACGGCCAAGAGGTTACCGAGGCGCCCAATGGCACGGAAGAAGAAGACGAGTCGGAGAGCGGGGATGAGGAGGAGGAGGTTCACGAGGACAACGGCGTCCCCTCGCGATTCCTGGGCTTGTGGGGTGAGAGGGCCGCGAGGGTCGAGAGGGAGAAGTCTTCCAGAAAGAAGGCGGCTCCATCTACCACCAAGCCTCTGGATCCTCGCCCCGTCCACGACGGGACCTTTCGGTCCTTCAATTGATCTTGAAGGAACGCTTGCTCCTAGTAAGGACGCATGAAAAGGTAAGAAGCCATTTTCTTTGAGCGTTCTGGACAAGCGGGATACGGCAGCGATTACAAAGAGGCTAAGTCGAGTACACCTCTCACGCACCCTTTCTATTGGAAGAGACTTGCGCATGGAAACGCCGTAGCACACTCTTCTCTTCTCTTCTCTTCTCTTCTCTTCTCTTCTCTTCTCTTCTCGTGCAGAATATACAGTATGCAAAGATGATTTCGGCAGAAAAGCAGTCTGGTCGTAAGGACTGATCTCACAAGTCTCTCAAAAATCTCTCCCTATACCATGCAGCAATCACGCAACTTCTCTTCTCCTCTCTACCACTTCTGGTCATCGGAGCAGATCAGGTCAGATCCGCTCTGATGGAAAGAATGCCACTTACCCCAGCCAACAAAGGCATCATCATTGACGCGGACGGACATGATGTCCGACGTGGACGATGTTGGAGCTGAGCTCTGGCGATTGCCAATGTCCTGCCTGCATAGTTGTGGTCTCTGCGACCTGAAGGCCGTGATAATCCGGAATACGGAGCCTTGACTGCCTGCCTTACAAGTATAAGAGAGCCAGGAAACCCAAAAACCCAAGCATATGGACAACCAACCAACAACAATGCCTCGAACAAGCAAGAAAGCAGGTCGATCAAACACCTACCTACCTTACTTCAACAACGGAACACATCCCAATAGCATCCATCCCCGCGACCGACCCATCACACCGACGGAATGTTCTTCGACAGACAAAACCTTCCTGTATGAGTAGTTTCCCTGCCTCGCTCCTCCCCATCATCTCCACCATGGATATTTTGCCAAAAGACCTGACCCAAAAACCACCCTCCAGCCTCATCGACTACGCCAGCAAGATTGCCCACAATACTTCATAGAAGGCTAAGGTAGAGGCTTCGGGGCAAAGAAAGCGACAAGAATATAAGACTGTAGGTTAGGATCATCTATGGCTGAAGGTAGATCGTCTAGGTACGGTACGCTACGCTGTACATCTAATTCACCACTCAGGTCCCAACCATCCAACCCATCGAAGAATGCAAAAAGGAGTCGCTCAAGAACTTTTCCTCACACGTTCAAATTCCGAACCGCAACCAGAAGGGTATCGCTCACACTCGTGCCGTCATGCCACTGGTACTGTATCATCGCGTGCCGTTTCGCCGCTCCAAGCGCTTACTACTGAGGGTTGGTCCCGTACCTGCTCGCGTCCTCGTAGAGATCGATTATGCACCCTGCGGACCAAGCCTGGGTTGGGCACTATCAAATACGTCAGCACAGTTCTTCTCTAAATCGAGACCAAACATGACTTACCGAATCACCACAGTAAGATCCATTGCGATTGGTAAGCTCAGTGAGGCCTCGCCATGGTGAATTGCGAATCATTTCCATGCTTCCATGCAGACGCTGAGTAACCTGTTGGAAGGCCTCGACGCGCTCCTCCTTCGTATTGCGACGCATCAAGTCGAACTTCAGGAGAGCACGCAGGAAGAAGCCGGTCGGCCACAGCCACTCGGGACCTTGGTGGTAGTTTCGTCCGTGCGCCGTCTGGTAGTTGTCGCTGTCATCGCTATTGATGTAATCCGGATGGTACTCAAGGTCGCTTGGATCCAGCGTTGCCATACCAGTCGGGCCACGAAGGAACTGATCGGCGATCTTGAGGGCACCAAGGGCATGTTCTGGCTTGAAGAGATCGGGCGCGACGACCATGGCAATGGGGAAATTTGGTCGCAGCTGGTAGTCCCGGTACTCCTTCTTGCAGCGGTGGATGTCCTTGTAGATGCCCTTTCGGTTGACAATGGCCGGGTTGATGTCGTACTGGGGCCAGTCCTGTGAATTGGCAGGGACGTAGTAACAGTGCTCGAAGCTGTTCCGGATCTTGGTGGCCCAGTCGCGATACGTGATGAGGTTGCCGTCCTTGGTCGACACACTATGATATCTGAACTTGCCAGCGGCACTCAGTTGGTCCACCCAGTTGAGCGCACTGTACAGCAGACCGGTTATCTCTACTGGCGCGCCGTCACGGGAAGTACCAGGGTGTCCCTTGTTTCCAGCCTTGGTGGAGTCGCCCATCTTGTCCATCCAAGTACCGCAGTTCCACTCGTTGCCACCGTAGATAATGCCAGTGTTCCAGTCGGGCTCGATGTCAATGTTGAAGCCTTCCGACTTCATCTGACTGTCCAGTTCAGGCCCAGCGTTGTACTCGCGGAAGTGCATACCGGTGGCATGGCGTTGCAGACACTCCTGGATGACGTCCTCGATGCTGCTGGTTTGAGAATAAGCGCGCTTGTCGTCCCACGCGAACCAGGTGTCGTCGTATGGGAAGAAACGACGTCGGACACGCTCATGCAGGAAATCTTGGCCATTCGGAGCCATGGCCACGTAGTCCTGGATGTTTTGAAGGAAGAACCAGACCGAATCTCTACTGTTGTAACGAGGCAGCTTCCCAGAGTTGAGAAGATTGGGAATCATGCCGTGCTTGACAAGACTGGCGAAGCAGAGCAAATGCTCCTTGGCCTCGTCGTAGCGCCCTGTGCAGGTCAACAGACCACGCATGGCGATCATGGTGTCGCGACCCCATACACGGGCCCAGTCCTGCGCAAAGTGAGGCAGACCCGCAGCGAGAGAAGGATCGAGCTTGTCTGGCCAGAGCTTGGCATTGTCCATGAAGCCTTGGACTTGGCAAGAGACCATACTAAGAGACTTGACGAAGCGTTGACCATTGCGAATTGTTGGGTGCATCTGCTCAATGGCTCGCTCATTGGCTGCCTTCTTGGCCGTGCGGATGACCAGAGCAAAGCAGCGTGGCAAAAGGAAGCTAGGCAGGGAGCGGCAAGCATCAAAACGAGACCGCAGCCAGTCGACAACCGGCGCGCAGCCCTTGTAAATGCCGTCTTGACGTTGCGCGAGCTTGTCCAAGCGGTTGACGATGTAGTCCAGAGCCCACTGGCCCTCGCGAAGGTGGTTGCAGATTGGATGACCGAGGTCATTGTGATCGACGACATCGCGGAGGACAGACCACCAGCCTTGGAGACCACAGTAGACCAGTGATCCTATGCCTGGCACCGTGTACACGCCGTCGGCTCCTCCAGACATAGTACGCTCCTCGGAATCGGCCCTGTACAGGATGGCGTTGATGTCAGTCAAGCTGCAGCCCTTGAAAGCCTCGCGAGCTCCGGACGTGAGGTACTTGTCAAGACCCTCGCTGTGCTCTGCTTGTGGGATCCAGGTCTCGAAAATGCAGATGGAGCCAGGCGGAAAATTGGAAGGCACGGTGATGAGAGTATCATCGCCGTGCGAGTCACAAGTAACGCCATGGAGATCCCTGGTTCTGCTGGGAATACCACGCAGGACTTTGTCGTGAATGGCGGCTTGCTTTGCTTCCCAGCTCTGGTCACATTCGAGATTCCATGCTCCAAGCGACTTGGCTTTCGTCCCAGTAAGACGTTGAGTATCGAAGCCGCCGTTGCCGTTGCCATAGCCTGGGTATGCGGTATGGGCGATGAGGTAGTAGCCTTTCCTCGATTTCGGATGGATACGATGAACGGTAATGTACTCGCCATCGTGATGGACGAACGTCTCATCGTACTTGTCCTTGCCCATGATGGTATGCAGCTGGTTCATGAGACGCTTGATACCGCCAATACCTTCAGTTGGACCAATCCGCAGATCTTCTCCCTCTTTGAGGTTGCTGTAGGGCGACGTGTAGGGGCGAGTCTCATGGACGAGTTCGATGAGCTCAGGGTACAGCTCATCCATGCCAAAGACAGAGCCGGCGGCTGAGGCGCACATCGCCACCAAGGCAGAAGTGGGAAGAGTATCGCGGCCGTCACGACGTTGCACTGGTGTCTCATTGTCATGCGTACAGTCCATGAGCAAAGCGTGGATCTTGGATGGAATGATCTTGTGAATGATTTCCAGGCCCTTGGGTGTGCTTCCATTCGTCAAAGTGCCGTTGGTAGCGGGCTTGTCCATACTAGAGATGTCGTCAACTTCGAAAGACCCGATAGGACGCCCGCAGTTGATGTGCACGAGCCGGGACATCTCGGCCGTCGACCAGCACTGCATGGCTTCGCGGATGAGGAAACTGATGCCAAGCTTCTGGCAGTAGAGGAAGTCCATCTTCTCATCACCACTGAACAGCTCAGCTGCGACAACAAGATCGGGCTGAACTTGCCGAGCAGCATCGAGCATGTGAGAAGCGACATGTAGTGGCGTGGAATGGCAATTGTCGATGCGGAAGCCGTGGAAGTGCTTGGCCATGAGCTGGGTGTACTCGGTCATGAATTGCCAGAGGAATGGGCTGTCCTCCGGGCCAGATCCGTATCGAAGCTTGACGCAGTCGCCCCAGACAATCAGCTCGCGGCGAAGGTAAACTTTCGACTTGGGTCCTGCATTGTCGCGCATCACATCGGCAGCCCACACCCAGCCGTTGTTGGCCAGAGCAAGCGAGCCTGGATCGTGCTTGGAGGTAGTCTCATTGACAGGGAGTCTTGTGAAGTAGGACTCAATGAGCGGATTTTGCAGAGTGATGTCGCCAGTCTTGGGACCATGATCGTCCAGGCGCACGTACTTGGTGCGATTGAAGATTTGCTCCATGATGGCAGCGACATCCGCGTCGTATTCCTTGTACCACTTGAGATTGAGTTCGTTGAGCAGTCGATGGACAGTGCCGTAGGCAGTCCGTTGGTCGCCAGCACTGTTGACACCAGTATTGTACTTGCCAACGAGACAGGTCAACAGAGCTGCCAAACGCTCGGGCACGGCGTGGCGGCGGAAACGCTCGCCCATTCGATCTGTCCCCGGACAGCAGTTGGCACGGATCCAGTCGGCCTTGTCTCCCAGAGACCAGCTTGCAATGTCGTCAGGGATGTGTCCATCAAACTTGACGCGGCCTTCTGTCCAAGCAGATATTGTAGCAGCAGTGTCCTTGTCCACGTCACAGATGTAGAATTCCCAAAATTTGATTGCTCCAAGGACATGGGCTTTGATGCCGTCCATGACGCGGAGCAAATCGGCTTCAGACGTCAAGTGTGTTGGAAGTCCAAGAGAGGCCAGCCGAGACGAGTACATCAGCAGGGCACTGTCGAGCTCGTAGGCGGGCTGCAGATGGGGCGCAGTGTTGACATTGTAGCCCGCTTCCGGGTGTTGCTCCAACCACTTGCTGTTGTTGGCGGTATGGTTCCACACAACGTCCGTCAGACTACAAAGGCCGTATTCGTTTTCCATTTTGCCGACCATTTCCACAATGTCCGCCTCGCCGTTGGGGAAAATAGCCTTGTCGAAAGTGTGCTGATCGTAGATGGAGTAGGGCGAATTGCTGTCGCCACGCATCATGAGGGGTGTGAAGTGCACCATGTTGTAGCCTCGCTGGCTGATGCCTCGAAGATGGCGGTGGAAGTCATCGGGGTACTTGCCCATGAATTTGGAAAGCACGGAAATGCAGGAAATGGCGTCGAGCGGGACATGGGCATTGTCGATTCGCAAGTCCGGCGCAACGTCAATGTAGTAGGTCGGTGTACGGGTGGGCTTGGGAGGCTCTGGCTTGTCTGTGGAGAAGGGTGGGAGCGGGGTGTATGTGCAATAGAACTCAAAGGCGCCTGCTGTGTGAATGGGCACATCGATCTTGATCTCCTCGTTGAAGCTTGGATTCAGCCTGGAGCAAGTCAGCATCCGTCGACCTTGCCATTGAATTGTGTAGTGTGGAGCTCGTACTTGTATTCATTGAACTTGTTGCGGCTGAACTGCTCTCCCTTGTGGGGAATGTTTGTCCAGAGGCTGCCTTCTCTGCATATTGAGCTGGTGCCGGTCACCTGGAAGCGGATGCAATAGGCTGGGTGCGAGGGCGGTGGGAGGTAGCAGTACGCCGGGTCACCCGCGATGTCAGGCGAGCCGTCGTCCTTGAGCGGAAGCAGGTGCACGGTGTGGGTCGAGATCTGGTGTGGAGACATGGTCGCCGTCTCGAGTGGAGGCGCGCTTTCGGGTCTTGCGGAAAAGGAAGCAGTTTGGGGATCGTTTGGCGTCGAGCTGGCGGAGTAGAAGGATAGTAGGTCAAAGGCAGGTAGCCGAGTCCTGTGCTGCGTCTCGGCGGTGAGGGGATTGGTGTATGTCTGGTGTATGTCTAGGCGTGTGTTGGGACAGCGGATGGATCGGCCGTGAGAATCGTGAGTGTGGTATTGATTGTACAGAACAGATATGGACAGTGAAGAGAGCAACAATGGGATGGTGAGCTGCTTCGTAAAGCTGCGTGAGAGGTGGGCGGATGGTGATGGAGCTGTAAGGTATAGGTACCGAAGGTGAGGTGGTGGAGGAAGATGGATGGTATGTATGTTTACCGTCCACACCGCACCTGCTCCCCTCTACCTATCCGCGACAGGCAAGAGTGATGAGGTGGTATAAAAGGCAATAGCAGCTCTGTCTCACCTGTCCACTTTCTTTGGTTGAGGTACAGTACAATGCCAGATGCGGCTCTCGCCTGTGCATTAGCGCCCATGCGGCAATCGTGGGACGCGGAGAAGGCCAGCACAAGCACCAGGAACCATCGCCGATCCTTGCCAAGCCCTGAACTCCCGTCGTTCTCGCCCATGCATCTGCACTGCAGTCACCGGCAGTGGTGACTGCGAGAACAGGAAGTATGGGGAACAGCAATGTAGTAGGGAAGGTAGATGGCTTGTGGAGGAAGTCCCTGGGGTCTGGAGATCGTCCAGTGACCGGCAGGCCGAAACAACCAGGTCTTGGCGGATAAGGTACTCATTCCCACGGCAAGTTCCGATGTGAAGCATCAAACTTTCCAATGCCGTTGCAACATCAACACCTCTTCCCTGAACTATCCTCTGAACGACAATGACACGGCCTTCGCCCTTCCTCTACGCGCCCCCTACCGCAGATGCAGACTCTCTGGCCATTCTGCATCTGAAGCGCGATAGCCTGCTTCCCGTACAGCTGCAAGCGACCGCTGACGATGGGTATGCCGAGGGAGCGGTGACTAACACTAGGTTTGGTTCTTTTCCTCACAGCACGCTGATTGGCCTCGAATGGGGCAGTCAGGTCCGCGCGAGCAAGGTCGATACCGGGTCAAGAGGGAGGAAGGGGAAGAAGGTGAAACAAGCAGACCATCAGGGAGGGCAAACCGGCGAGCAGCAAAAGCTCGAGCGCGATACTGAGAGAGCTCTCGCGACGAAACGGAAATCCGGCGACCCGCCAGAAGATCTGCCTGAGGCGAAAAGAGTCAAGTCTGAACATGCTGAGGCGGTCAGGAATCCGCTCGAGGCTGGGTCGGGCTTTATCCATATCCTACCGCCGACGCCCGAGGCCTGGACATCGTCGCTGGATCACCGCACGCAGGTCGTCTATACTCCTGACTATAGCTTCATTCTCCAGCGGCTGCGAGTGAGGCCTGGATGTCGCATCATTGAGGCGGGCGCCGGCAGTGGGAGCTTCACTCACGCCGCCGCCCGTGCTGTCTTCAACGGCTATCCGGGTCAAGATCGAGAACCTCAAGACGCCGGCAAAGTCTACAGCTTCGAATACCACGAGCCACGAGTTCATACTCTCCGCGATGAGATAGTCTCGCATGGCCTCGACGGCATCGTCGAACTCACTCATCGTGATGTCTACAACGACGCTTTCGTGCTCCAAGACGGAACCCCTCCTTCAGTGGACGCTGTATTTCTAGACCTTCCCGCCCCCTGGCATGCCCTCAAACATCTCTCCCGTAGCGCACCCAACAGTCCCCTCAATCCGCACAATGCGATCCACCTGTGCACCTTCTCGCCCTGCATCGAGCAAGTCATGGCAACCTGTTCCTTCCTCCGTAAAGCCGGCTGGACCGACATCAGCATGTTCGAAGTCCAACACAGGCGCATCGACGTGCGTCGAGAGCGAGTCGGGCTCAAGGAGGAAGGACTGCGGGGTGTTAGTGCCACCGCTGCTAGCGTGTCCGAAGCCATTGGCAGGTTAAGGGAGGTCGAAAACAAGCTATCTGCATTCCACAATCTCAATAGACCGGTTACTAATGCCAATGACAGGGAAGATGTGGCGCAAGAGAAGAAGTCGGAGACGAAATCAGAGCGCCTGCAAAGGATCAAAAGGGAGGCTGATGAGCGCAAACTGTACAAAGAGGGAAATCTGGTTACAAGGACGGAGGCGGAAGTGAAGACCCACACCAGCTACCTCGTCTTCGCCGTCCTCCCGAGGAAATGGACGGAAGACGACGAGGCAGCGCTGGAGCAGGAATATCCGGTGGATGAGATCATGAAAGGTGCCCCGAAGGCGGAAGAAGCAAAATGATAGCTTCTTTTCACAGACCCTCGAAAACTGGCGCTGTCTCCAGAACATGCCCCATCCTGGAACGTCTCGTCTCGTCGCTCGAGTCGCACAACTAACGGCTGGCCGCAGAATTCAAACGCCACGCACAACCTTGCACGCGCGCAGATTTGCTGCTTGGGCAGCGGAAGCTAGTGGGGGGACGCATTTTCCGAGCCGTCTCTTGAGGTGCATATGCTGGCCAAGGGCAACGACAGGTGCACGACAGGTCGATCTCCCCCGTCGTGTGTGTGGGACGGCAGAGAACGTACACGGGACATGCGAGGAAACATCACACGATGGCCCCCCCCCCTGTTCTATCGAAGCTGGACATTTGTTGGATGCCCGCGAACCAAAGCTAGTGGAAATCCGCAGTCCGCGGCAGATGCGGCTTGATTGCGTTACCGTTGTGCTGTGACTCGATTTGGGGACGAGAGATCTTTTCTCTGCGAAATCCTTGGTCGGGGATAGGTGAAGGCTACGGGATGTTTGCAGCATGACGCGCAGCTACTGTGGGACCCCCAAACTGATATTGGGGAGGAGGGGAAGAAGCCGTGCTCGGGATGAGAGAACGAGAAACGATTTGCGGGTTTGCCTTGGAGGATTGTATGAAGGGGAAGAAGTGGTCTCGATTGGGATTGTGTATGGTATGGGTTCATGGCCGCAAGAAGTCGAAGCTTATGGGCACGCTGCTTGATGAGGTCTTGGCAGATCACAAGGAGACAGAGCAGTGAGAAGTCATGAGCAACGCTAGCTCCGGACTGCAGCTGTCCAGTTGCACAAGACAAGCAAGGGACTACTCTTCCGAGCAGCAGCAGCCCGACTCTTCCAAATGGTTCGTCGATGTCTCAAGGACGCTAAGGGAGGTCATCAGCATGACGCGCAGCTCTCCGTCGCACCTTGCGGCACACGGCATGCTGTGTGATGCCAAGAAAAGATCCAAAGATCGATTCCAGGAGAGCACGTGCGGAGTATATGCCGACGTCCAGGTGTCGGTCTGGCTTTGTTCCCCCCCGCCATCCTTGTGCTATTCCTCATCCGCGAGGTTCACCAGACACTTTATAGTGAGATGAGAGATGAGACGGACAGGAACGGCCATCATCACGGAGTACAGGGAGAGGAGGGGGGAGAGGATGTCTCGTAGAGAATCCGGCGTGACGCTTTTTGGTACTTCACCGGGGGAGGGGGGCTTTGGCGCGGGAGGAAGCAAAGAAGAGCAAGTGATGAACACTTTCTCTTGGACGGGTAGTATTGGAAGGCGAATGGTTCGAAGCATGTCTCCCCAGTCACACGTCACATCTTCCTGCTCGATGTTCGACGGCTTTTTCTCGCTCAAGACTGACTGAGCAAAAGTTGAGGTAATTGGAAGCCGAATGAGAATTTCCGAAATGTTGTCGTCGTCGTCCACTCTTCTCTTCTCGAATCATTCGCCCGTAGTAGGCTTTCACGACACTCGATCTCTCCCATCCATCCACACTTTCAAGTGAAAAGGGAAGAATTCGCTTTTTGGTTCACATGCCTTTGGAGCTGGTGGTACATCACATCACACATCACACGCAAGACGAAAGATGCAAATCTTGGGCCGGCCGATCAGTACTGGTGGTCCCCCTTCTATCTAGATAGGACAGGGGTACTTGGTCTGTCTGTCTGTCTGTCTGCGCGTGAAGAATCACACGTTAATTTTTTTTGGTTACGGGGCTTTTGGGACGGGACGTGGTAGTAAGGTATATGTATATGATGACATGGACAGCTTCTTCACGCTTCTTGAGAGAGGGGGAGAGAGAGAGAGAGAGAGAGAGAGAGAGAGAGAGAGAGAGAGTGAGAGAGGTCCGATACGGCAGAATTCTTGAGAGTATCCGTGGGGGACGATTAACCCCCCGCTTTCTTCCTCCTCCTCCTCCTCCTCCTCCTCTTTCACACCCATCCATCCATGCTCAAGAAGATGGGATCCCGCACGCGCTCTCTCATGGCTCCTTATTAAGAAAGTTTCAAAAAAAAAAATTTGAAGATTGAAAACGAAAGTTGCTTCTTCTTGAGAATGTTCCATTCGCTCTGTGCGGCCCCCCATCAAGTTTGCATGTAAGCCTAGCGCGAGTTTGGTTTTGGCGCTGAATGAAACGAACGAAGATTGGACTGACTGCTTATGGGTATCGTTTTTTTTACCATACGTCCGACCGGCATGACTGGTACGTCCCCGAGCGATTCCGGGCGTCGTCCGAGTATAGGGAAGGCTGAATACCTTAGCATATAGTATTATTATTAGGGAAGCAGCCCGGGGTAGGTAGGCTGAATACCGTAACCCTAGGGAAGCAGCCCGGCCCGCTTATAGTCTATCGCTACGTACGCGCCCGACCTCTACTTCTAGCGATAGCGAGGTCGCTTTTAAGGATATAGTAGCGCAAAGCCTAAAATCGCTTCTTTAAGGCTTCTAGATCTAGTCTATTTCTATTTAAGATCTATTCCTCCTGTATCTACGAGTATATCTTAATTATAAGTTTATTAGCTAATTAGATCTACTAGGCGTACTAGTAATACCGGTCGGACGTATAGTAAAAAACGATACTAGAGAGAGAGAGAGAGAGAGCGTAGCCTTATAGCGGCGCTTCTTCCTATGTTTTAATCCTACGGCTAGAACTTATTACGCCTAGCCTAGACCGCTACGCTATATTATGTTATATTAAGCCGAGTTACGACAGGCTGTCTACTATTAGGAAGAAGAAGAAGAATAATAGTAGCGGTAGTAGTAGATCGATTACTATAAGAGGAATACCGGTTCCCGGTTCCTTAGTAGTAACTACTTACTTACTCTCTCTCTCTCTCTATCCTAATAACTATACTCCCCCCCTATTATAATAGAATTTCGTAAATATAGACAAGATAGATAGATAGATATCTAGCTAGCTAGATAGACCTTCTTCTTAGAATAGGTTAATTTAAGACTTGTCCTATCGTATTAGTTAAATTTTGGAGCATCCCAAACCATACGCTTTGATTTGATTCATTCATTCTTAGTCACTCCTTTTCTTTTCTCTCCCCCCCCTCCTCCCAAAAGAGCTCAACTTTTTTCGATAAAATATCGTCTAATCCATCCCATGCCATCCCATCCGGAACATGATATGACATGACTTGATATGACATGCATCCAGTAACATAACATGACAATTTGTTTTTTTTTGGCTCTTTCTAACCAAACATGAGATCCTTACTTTTTTGTTTTTCTTCTTGACTTTTCCCTTTCTCCCCAGCCCCCGCCACCATCCACTTCAAGCTCCATCCTTCTCCTCGCCCACACACTTTGTGATTTCGATTCCGTCCTGTTATCAATCAATCGGAAATTAGCCACATCCTTCATTCACGCGACTACTCTCCGAATTCAACGAAGGGAAAAGAAAAGAGAAAGAAGAAGGAGAGAAAAAAACAAAACTCACCGGCTCCCCCGTCGGCTCAAAACTCTCCACCAAGCGACTCTCATAAACCAGATTCGGATTCCCCCGACTCCTCCCCAGAGCCTCCCGTGCCACGCGTTTCGCATACTGCTTCGTCTGTCTCGCCTGGAACGCGCCCTCCACATCCTCCTCCCCCTCCCCCGCCGCGGCGTACCTCTCCCGCTTCTCCGCCACCGAACTGCGCACGTACGCCAGGTAGGGCGGATTCCCGGGCTTGATGACGTTATCCGCCGCCAGCCAGGAGCCCTCGCGCACGAGCCCGAGTTCCTCGCAGAGTTTCAGGTCCGTGGTGTAGGCGGGTTTGTAGTGGTCGAGGAAGACGAGGTCGATTTTGCCGGTGGGCAGTCGGTGGGTGTGGTGCAGGCGTTGCAGGGAGGCGTCCGAGGAGCCGATTTCCACGTGCACCGTGTCCGCGAGGCCGGCGAGGGCGACGAGGGCGGCGATGACGGCGCCGAATTCCGGGTTGCGCTCGAGGGTGTAGTATCTCGTGCCGCCGGCGCGGCGGAGCGCGTCGCCGAAGAGGATGGCCGAGTAGCCGATGTAGCCGCCGAGTTCGACCTGTAAAATAATAAGAAGAATATTAGGAGAATTGTTTTTTTCAAGACGTTTGGGAGTGAAGTGGAATGTATATTTCGTACCATGACTTCCGGTTTCCTCTCCGCGATCAACCCCGTGACAATCCTCCCCTTGTCCTCCCCGACATTCATCAGGTACTTCTTCGTTCTCCCGAACCGATCAATCGCCTCCAAGACTCTCTGCGGCGAGCCGCGGATCTCCTCCAGGTCGGGCAGATTGTAGATGAAATGCAAGAGTTCGATCTCGCGGCCATCGTCGAAGAAGACTTCTTCTTGCTCGGCGTAAGCTTTCGACTGGTCAAAAGAAGGCATTCTTGTGGAAAAGAGGAGATGTCAGTTGAAAAGGAATTTTCTATTGAGGAGAAAGACTGTGTGATGTTTTGTTGGAGAGTGTGTAATTAACTCCATTGACTTTGCTCTCTCTCTCTCTCTTGTTGTTGGCTGCAATGATGCATTAGACTTTCAGTCGCCGATGGGTCGTGACGTCGGCATTTGCTCAGGACTGTGGCTGCGGTGCGACAAACCCGCCGACCAGTATTTGGTATGTAAGGTATGCCAGAAGTATCGATGGTTGAAATCGATGCTCTTTTGACATACTTTACTCGCTGACCGCTTTACGGGAATGGAGATGCTTTCTCGTTTCGGTCTCAGCTGCGGCATGCTCTTATCGCAGGCCACGCAAAGGGAATGCACCAGAAGACGAAGCGCCGGTATCGCATCATGGTGGCCCGCTTGGGCAGCAGTTCCAGCTCAGGCAGAGTGTTCATCACGTTCGGCAGCAGTCGGTAGGTGTGGTGTTATACCTAGGTACTTTAATAAGTTGGGCAGTAAGGAGAAGTGTGGGAAGGGCGGGAGCTGCAGGGGCGCTGCCCTCATCTCCGTCAAAGTTCGTCCCATGTCGTGTCGTTGGGAGTTGGCCGTTAAGAAGAGCTTGAACAATCCGTCGGGACGACGACAGCCACGAGATATTTTTAAATCTTTCGCGATTGCGTAACTGGGACGACCACAACCGAGCGAACGCGACGCACCAGGTAATAATAGTAAGGTGATCGAGCGCAGCAGTTGGACGGCGCGCGCGGACGAGAGGTGGGGAAAGCAGCAAATTGTTGTGCGAATGTCCATCGAGGAAGATGTACCTTACCTTGCGCTTAACTCCGTGTAGTCGTCCTTGATGACGGGGAGTTGGCTACTGCTATTACTATTTATGTTTCCTGCTGTCATCAGGAACGCGTGGTCCAAGCGTATCTCCTCACCAGCGGGCGTGGAGTGACTGCATCGCTCTTTGGCTGGAGAGTTCAGTGTGTGGATGGATGTACGTCAACAGATGTATGTCGATATATTCACGTCTCAATAGATGTATGTTAACTAATAGATTATCCCGCTTTGGTTCATGAGTCAGCAGCTTGTGGTACTCTGCGGCATGTCGCGGGACCTGTAGTAGCAAGCTGCAGGCGCTGGGATCGTCGCCGCGTTGATTGTCATCTGGTACAGTATGTCTTTCCAGAGGAGAGAGCGACTGCGACGGCAGGGACAGCAGAAGGGTAGTCCAACGAGCAGGGCTTGGCATGCGCGACGTCGCCTGCCTGTGTCTTGTCGCTCCGGCCG